TTCAATATATTGCCCCATTTCCGTAAGTTGCAAAGTCGTATGTGTTGTAGTATATGTGACACACACTGGTCGCAGAGTTTTACCAGTCCCAACATTATTATTCCCAGAACATGTTCTGTTAGAGCAGACTAGCTAAGAATGCTGCATCTCCGTCCTCTTCCCTTCCCCAAAAAACCCAGTCTCATCTTTCTTGGAGAAGTAAAACATACCAGGAAAAAAGAAAGGGTTTTTTAAATAAAGTACACATTTTCCTCTACTGTATATAGATTTTAATTAAGAGTAACGTCAGTGGTTCTGGGTAAGCACACAAGTAACAACTGAAAATGAGACTAAGTAGTGCTACAGAAGTGCTGGTGCACTGTGTGCAGTCATTGTTTGAATGCTCCCAGGTTTTTTAGTGGTTGAATCTCAGCCCTTCTTGTCTAGTTTTAGAAGAGCACTTCATCTTCCATTCGGATGTGCTTGGTTTTGCGTTGAGCTATGCATAGTGCAGTTTTAATTTCTTTAGAATAATTTTGTGCAAGTTCTGCTTCTTTCTTTTTGTTTTAGCAGAACTGTAAGATGTGATTACAGAATTGTACATTTCAGACTGTATTCTTGAGCAGCTTTTTGTACATTTGTGGACATACTGTGCTGCTCTTTGGACTATACTCAGATTTGTTCCTCTACCATGTTTTCCAAATTTCTGCTCTCTTTTGGAAATTACCTTTTCCTGCTTCCATTTATTTAGTATGGGCAAGAAGATTCTAACTTGCTTGATGTAGATAGTGAAAGTTTTAATTGCAGCCTAAGAACAAACTGACACTGTTGAGAAAAAGTTAAAACCTTTCCTAATAAATACAGTTTTCTGTGCAATGAGAGACCTGTGGAAGAGTGTAAGGCTGATCATCTTTGCCTTACTTTTTTTTCTTTTTAGAGCATTTCCTTACTTTCAAAATGGTTGTGTTATTCTATGATGAGCAAGGCAGTAAATTGAAGTTGAGCTGAAGATTAGAAATGGCAGTAACCCTGCATTTAAGATTGATAGCAGACTTCATTGTTTGAGAATTGCCTCTTTAATTGAAAAAAGTTAAGTTCTGCCTCTTGAGAGTGGACTGCTTTTTTGAAGAAACTTAAGAACAGAGTGGAAAAGTAAAGGAAATGAACCACTATTTAAAGGCTTTTAGTTTGATCTTTAGGACTTTTGCGGGGGAGAGGAGGGTTGTCAGTCAGTGGTGTTGATGAGGCAATATGTGTAAGAAGTTTAGTACCTGACACAAAATTTCATTTCATGACTGTAGAGAAAGCTCATTAGATCTAACAAAATCATGAGCTTTTGGAAAGTTGCAGGCAGGATGAATTAGGTCTCATAGATTTTCTTTATATGGCCTTCTTAGTTATATCTACTGATTAAGTAAAATGCAAGTTCCTTAAAGCAAATGCAGATCTTCAATTTCACTTAGTCTAGCAACTACAGGACACTGGGTGTTTCATGATTCATGGTAGAAAATAGTTTTGTAACGGTATAACAGAAACCAAGTTCTCTAGTATATCTGATCTTTTTTTGCACATCAGTGCTACTACCATAAAGTGCTTAGATTTTATTGCCTTATTTTTTTCTGGCAAGTTACAAGGTCACTTGTGAACTGCTTCATCTATGACTAGACATGAGTGTATTTTCTTTAAGCATTGAGGTTTTCCTTTCTTAAAATAATGCTTATTCCTTACAATTTCTGAAATGTGAACTGTAGAAACTGGAGTCTCATGGATTGTGTAAGCTCCTGTTATTAGGGACTTGATGCTCAGGAAAATTGCTCCTGCTGATAAGCTTGCATGTTGTTCTTTTGCACTTTAGTATTCCTTTTTTGTCAAAAATGTTTTGGGTTTTCTTCCCCACTTACTGTAGTTTAACCTCAGCTGACAACCAAGTACCACCCAGCCCCTCTCTCACTTCCCATTCCTCCCTCCTCACAGTGGGATGAGGATGAGAATCAGAAAAAGGTAAAACCTCTGGGTTGAGATAAGAACAGTTTTACAATTGAAACTAAGTAAAATATAATAGTAATAATAATAGGGAAAAAGAATAAAACCAAAGAGAATCAAGTGATTCACAATACTGTTGCATAGCACCCACTAGCCAACGCCAGTCCGTGATCGGCCCCTCCCAGCCAATTCCTATCATTTTATATATGGGGCATGGCACTCCATAGTATGGAATATCCTTTTGGCCAGTTTGGATCAGCTGTCTTGGCCATGCTCCCTCCCAGCTTCTTGTGCACCTGCTCACTAGCAGAGCATGAGATACTGAAAAGTCCTTAATATAGTGTCAGCACTAGTAATCAGCTCAAACATCAGTGTGCTATCAACACTCAAATCAAAATACATCACTGTACCAGCTGTACTGTTCTGTACTCAGAACAAAATTTTCTCTATCCCAGCAGAAACCAGGACAGCACTGTTAGTAACCAAATCACAGTAAAAATGTCTTATCAATCTGTAGAATGAAGTGAATTAAGTGAGTCGTTAAACTCACAGCTTATATTTAAACTAGAATAGGGCTGGACTGCCACCTCAGAGAGCTGTCTCCATTACTATAGTTGTGTGTTTCTGTTGTATCCCTTGTTTCTTAACTTAGCAGTCAGGAGATCACATGGTCGCTTTGTTGTGTGTTGCTGAAAACTGGCTCCTTACCATTTCTTGCTACTGACTTGTTGACAGTGAGAAGACACCATTTCCAGGGACTGAGTGTGCCAAAAATGTCCATGTTCGTGACAGTGCAGTCATAAACTGATTGAAATAAAAATATGCAGCCCCTTTTGTCCTGGGTGTGCATGTACAACTCAATATATGCAGAGATAAGCATCCAAATCACACATGGCCTATATATGGTTAAATGTTTTGCATGTGCTCTTTATACAGGTATTTCTTTCTACTTTCACAGCCCATTGGGAATGTGAACTGTGCCCTTGTTCTAGCAGCAGTCATTACTTGATCTGTCTTCCTGTTTAAAATTCAGTCTGTGATCTGACTTGTTTCTGCTGATAGCTGCTTCACATTTAGTTAGATGCCTGAGCATAACTTGAGTAATGTGTCTCCAGCTTGTGGCAGGATGAAAACAAAACAGTTTCTACACCTTACTTGAAAGATAAGTCTGACAGGATATTGAAGAATAAAAAGTAATTTTTGCAGAGACACAAGAGATGTCCTTTGCAGAAAGTTTATTTTTAGATTTTAATTTCAGATGCCATGTGAAATGTACTGTAATAACTTAAATTCCCCTACATACTTTTTCATAAATCATACTCTGTTTCAGCTCAGTCTAAGACCCAACTCCCCCATAATCTGCAGATATTTTTATCAACTTGCTGAGAGTGAGGACAGGATTAATTAATACCACTGAATAATAGTTTGGTGCTTGACACTCAGAACAGTGCTACCTTTATAATTTTTCTTCTGTAGGAAATCAAAGGCAAATACTGGAGTTACAAAACAAACACTCTTGAATTAATATTTACAGTGTAAACTAAATTACAATGAAAGAGAATGCTTATATGTAAATCTTTCAGAACCTTGCGTAAATACACTCTGAAAAAAATCTGAAACTGTGTTGATAATCCAAATGGAAGGTCTCCTGGGGTGGAGGGGAAAAACTTTATAAGTCACTATACAGAAATGCTTGAAAAATTACTGGATTGTAAAAAGTAACTTGCTTAACTCAAGTTCCTCAGTTATCAGCCTCCTTTGCCGAGATCTTTGTAGTAAATAGACTGGAAGAATTAATAAAGGGAGTTCTGCCATAATTGTTTTACACTAAGAGGCTCTTTGGAGGGGTATGTGAAGTTACATAACCTAGTTTGACTGTGTCTGATTGTACAATGTTCATGATACCTTCAACTCTTTGGTAGTGGTAAAGATGGCTGGGGGGGTGGGTATGTCTTTCGTGTGCTGGGAGTGGCATGCCCAGAATTGAATTTGTTTTAAAATTTTGTTCTCTTTGTAGCCTACAGTTTGCAGTAGCTGCCTGCAGGCTGGTACCATTGCCTTTGTTGAGTGCATTTCTGATCATATTCTAGAGTCTCTGTGGGATTCTTTCTTTGTCCACACCTCCGCAAACTCTCCCACATACTCTGGAAAGTCTTCAGAATGCTATCTTAAAACTTTTCATTTGCTTCTTTAATCAAGTATAGAAATTACAAGGACAATACTGTTTGTATAGCAAACCCAGAGCAGGATTGGCAACAGTCCCATCAAATAAGTATATTGTAATATAAAAATATTTTTAGTGTTTTCATTACGATTATGAAATTAAAATGTAGTATCTTTTGATGCATATAAGCTTTTGTTGGGGGAAGGCTAGTTAAAAACAGTACCATGTATATTATTGATTATTGGTGAAAGAAAATAGTCATCATTGTGTCAGAATTCACTAAAATGGAAAGACTACCAGGAAGAATTAGATAGTGTCATGAAGAAATCCACATCAGTCTTTACTTCCAATGTTTGGAAAGAACTTTAATGATTATGGTATTGAATTGAAATAAGCCTTTTGTTGACTTGGTAATCTGCCTGATTTGTAACATTTTATTTTCTTGGGTTTTTTTCCTACTTAGCTTTTGCAGCATGATTGTTTTAATAGCTGGAAACATTACTGCAAAGACTGATTTGATACTCCATGTAGTATTTCCCATGTTACAATCTCTGCTTGCTTTTTTTTTTTTTTTTTTTTTTTTTTTTTTTATTTTTTTTTTTTTTTTTTTTTTTTTTTTTTTTTTTTTTTTTTTTTTTTTTTTTGTACCTTACCTAAAGATTCATCCTGTTTTTAAAATTGGGACAATGAGAACTTCCTATTTATAATACTTCCTTGAAATTACATATTTTGTTAATATTCACATTCTTTTTCACCACACCAAAATACTTGAAGAACAAAAGAATAATGATAAATTGTGTAAATACAAAAGGTTGTTAATGAAAATGGTATGATTTCCAGTTTGATGCAGTTTATTTTGTGTGTTATGCTGCAGGTCTATCAAATGGTTTTGGAGATGAGAGCAAAGAGAGAGCATTAGATGATACTCCAGGAAGAAAAGTTGAACCTCGTCGCCGCTGTGCATCAGAATCTAGTATTTCATCTAGTAACAGTCTCTTGTGTAACTCAAGGTAAAACTGTAAATATGAAATACAGATTTGAGACTGGATATATCAGTTTTCTATAGTGCTTGTGACCCACATTGGAGGATTGCATCAATTTTGGAAAAAAGAGTGTATTTCAATTTTCTCAAGTTTTGTCAGATCTGAGATCCCTTTTAAGTTTGCTGGGATTCTTCTGTTGAATTCAGGTTATTGCATATCCAGGCAGTTACATTTTTAAACTGGCTGTGCTTCTCTTGCTCTGTAAAGATACAGACATGTTTTTGCATATAGCATCTTGGCTTAATTACCTTCCTAATCCAGAACACTAAAATGTGTGTCTTTATTTTTGTGAGGGCAAGAGAGAAGCAACTTACAAAGCAGAGTCTTGTACACAGAAAAGGTGGTACCATAGCTTTGGAGCTGTGGGTTGTCAGTCTGTGGGTTGGGTTGCTGACTAGGTACTACAGTGTGGATAGTAACTCTGTTCCAGCTATTGCCTTTCTCTCCATGGAGTCTGTTGTTAAAGGCAGGACTGTCAGAATGGATACATCTGCCACCATTGATGTCTCCATCACCAATGGTGTATCTTCTGAAAGAACACTGATTTCTGGGTGATAGGTAGCTATCTCCAGTCCTGGGCTATGAGACATACAGGAGAGTATAGGGTAAATCCGTTAGACAGAAAAAGAGGGCTTTATTTGTGTGTTCAGGTTAAGGGAATGGTGTTAATACAGTCATGTCAAACAGACTTTCAGAAACAAAGATAATTTAATAGTGTATCTATTTTAAATGTGATATTCTAGATCAAATTGTCAATATAATTGTTCAGATTATATGATTTCTTGAAGAAAACTCAAGTCTGTAGAAAACAAATTTCCCATTTTGAGTAGAGGCATTTTACAATTGAAAGACTGGAATTTTTTAGTGAAAAATTAAAGAGAGAATGGGTGCATTTCCTGTGTAGTAGAACTGTTGGAGCAGTGGAACAGACTTTTGCTGATAACCAGGCAATTCTGTGTATGAAAATAATCAGAGCTTTGCCTTTTATGTTGTTTGTATTTGTTACTCAAAATATGTTTAGAGCTTGCTCCACTGATTTTACTCTGTACTGATGAAATTTAAGTTCTAGTTCAGAATTTTGATTTATAAGGAACAATGTTAATTATCAAGAAATGATTTTAATATTAATACTTTTGTAGTTTTAGTCTGCCGAAGTGTGGTAAAGGTAAACCTGCCCTGATACGGAGACATACACTGGAAGATCGAAGTGAGTTGATATCATGCATTGAAAATGGAAACTATGCCAAAGCAGCAAGAATTGCAGCTGGTAACTATAAATAATTGAATTCTTAATAGTATTGTGTGATTTTTGTCCATTTATTTGACAGATTCTTACATTATTATTTTTAATGCTTAAATACATTAATCCTTCTAAAAGTGTTGTTGATATTCTTCCAGAAACTACTGAATTCTGCTTTTGACTCTTTAAAGACTTTTAAAGAATAGCATCTGACTCTGATTTTGATTAATTTTCTCTCCTTGCTTGAGGAAATAAAGAGGTTTTGAAATAAAAAGAGAAAATTAGTTTTCTTTTACAGATCTTGTAAAAGAAAATTAGTAATCCTGTGTGCTAGATTAGTAACCCCTTACTGTCATGTGGAATATTCTCTGACTTGGAAGAATTCTGAGGCTCTTACTTGTATATACACCTGAGAAGTCTCTGAGTCTGGCTGAATGCATCCTGTCAACTTGTGTATGATTTTCTATTCAGCATTAAAATACCATTTCTTTGCAGCTGAAGGTAGTGTAGATTTCTTTCTTATTAGCCCTCCTGAACAAGAGGACTTATACTGTTTTTATGTACCAGACACAGTTCCACTTATATATTTTTGAAACAGTCTGTAAATGAAGGATGAATTAATTGAAACCTCATGGCTCTTTCTAGCTGATATGTGACTACTTTACAAACTGTTACCAACAGTGCAGAGAAACAGAACTTGCTCTGCCGAACGACTGAATTTTTTTTTTTTTTAATTTAATACTTTTTTCTTGCTATTTCTACTTTTAAAAGGTCTTAAACCACTTTTTTCCCCCGGTATTTTTTTGTAATGTCAAGATAGAACATGTATCTGCATGCCACCTTTCATTATAAATAAGCAATGCCCATTTGAAATACACTTTCTCTCAGCAGTATGTATTGCCTGACTGCTGAAAGAAAGTGCAGCTGCAGCCCCTGAACTGTATCTTGGTACCAGGTTTCCCCATACAAGAAGTGCTGCCTGACCTTTACAGCATATGAACTTGGATAGTTTTTCCTCCTTTGATTACCACCCCAGTTCCATCTTGAGGCTGTAACTCACTGTCTTCTGATCAGTCTCTGGACTGTGTCTAGGGGACCAGTTGTGGTTTTGGTTGACTGAAAGGCTTACACCTGTCTCAGGCTTCAATACATTGCTGAGCAACGGAGAAGAAAATTGAGGATTCTGTAGAAGTGCACAGTAACTTAAACTCAGTTGTTTGTTACCCTGCTTTTTGAGAAGAAATAAAACACGAGTGCTGGTGCCTGGAAACCTATTGACATTTTTGAACTTGACTGCAGGAAAGGGCAGGGCAGAGAGACCAAGAAAACTTGTGAAAAATAAATAGAAATCAAAATGCAGGTTAGAATTTAGGCATAAGAATAGAAAGGTGTACCAGTATTGTAAAGTTGTGAGGTGCTAATCTCAGTGTGTGTATCCAGGTATCCAACACTTGGAAATACATACCATGCAAATTGCATCTTGAAAATCATCACCTCTGTGACAGGATTGTCATCACAGTAAAAGAAACTGTTATTTGAAGTAACATAATTTTATGTTTTCTTTGGAGCTTTTTCAAAGGGAAAGAATAATTGGAATTTGGCAAACAGTTCCCAAGAATTAAGATATTTCAGATATGCTATTTCCAGAAGTGTCTAAACTCTTGTTCTTTATCTATAGGCTTGGAAAAAAGTATCAGTATCATGTAAAGACCTCTTACAAATACTGTCTCGTTTTTATTGGTATGTGTGTGAAAGTTGGTATTGGTATTTGGATTCTAAGGATCATGAGCTATTGGTTAGGAAACCAGCACATTTGTCTGAGGTTTCATTCTGGAACATTTTAATTTTATATTTCTTTGTTCTTAGAAGTTGGGCATAGCAGTATGTGGATTTCAACTGATGCTGCAACATCTGTTCTTGAGCCTCTAAAAGTAGTATGGGCCAAATGCAGTGGATATCCCTCTTACCCAGCTCTGGTAAGTGCCCAGCTTCCCAGAAGTACAGTACTGACTGTTTCTGGTGTGAAAACACACATATCTAAGGTAATTGGTAAATTCCCATTCAGGTTAAATAAAGGTGGCTTATTCTGCCCTCTTTACTATGTGCTGAGTTTGTTAAGTTACTGAAATACCAGATTTTAAGTCAATAATTTCTGCTACTCTGCCAGCGTTTGATATGTGCAGTACTCCTGTTGTGCAGCTAAGCCTCCTGCAGCCACTTGCTCACCCCTTGTGGGTGGGGGAAGGAGTTGGAAGAGTGCAAGTGAGAAAACTCTTGTGTTGAGATAAAGACAGTTGAATAGGAAAAGCAAAAGCTGTGCACACAAGCAAAGCAAATTCATTCACCACTTCCCATGGGCAGCAGGTGTTCAGTCATCCCCAGGAACACAAAGCTCCTTTACATCTGGCTTGGGAATACAAATGCCATCATGCTGAATGTCCCTTCCTTCCTCCTTCTCCCCCAGCTCTACATATGGAGCATGATGCCATATGGGATGGACTATCCTTAAGGTCAGTTGGGGTCACCTGGCCCAGCTGTGTCCCCTCCCAATTCCTTGTGCACCTCCAGCCTCCTCACTGGTGGGGCAGTGTGAGAAGGGGAAGAGGCCTGATTTCTGTGTAAAACAGCTCAGCATTAACAAAAACATCTCTATATTCTCAATGCCGTTTTCAACTCATGTCCAAAACATAGCCCCATACCACCTACTGTGAAGAAAATTGTCTCTATCCCTGCTAAAACCAGCATTCTTGTCTCAGTAGTCTTTGTTTCTACATTATGTATTATTTTTGCTACAAAATGAGTATGAAAATACTCTTGATGCTGCAGCTCATTAAATAAACAAAAAACTCAGTTGCCGGAATAAACTGCAGCCAATTGTGTGAATGATGTACTGGAAACTTAAACTGTTGTTAATAGAGGAGATATATATGCATGTGTGATAATAAAGGAGAAACAGACACAGTTCTATTTACATCAAAGTTTGCAGAGAAAATATGGATGAGGTTTGGCTGTATTTTACCTTTGGGGTTATATGAATAGCTCATACACTGCCTTGATTTATATGAGTGTGGATAATCACGGCTTTTAATATGTGTGTTCTAAGGGCAACGTGAAATGTAATACAGTCAGGTTAAAACCTCTGGAGGTGGCATTCAGAGCACTTAAGTACCCTCAGTGGGTGACTCAGACACTTGGGTCAGATGCTGAAAATTTGATGATTGTCTCTTGAAGGATATTAGTGCTAGATTTCAACTGATGAAGACCAAAGGGTTCCTTTTGTGCCTTCTCCTTAATGTCAGCATTGGTGTTACTGAGAGTGGGATAAGTTAATTGAGGAGTTAAACCTCTGTCAAGAGAAAAAAATTCTTCTGATTTCTATGAGCTCCCCACAGCTTTCTATTAATTTATTTCCCAAAGTCAGTTTACTGTGGATTAAGATTGGTGCCAGTGTGGATGGTGGAAAAACAACAGGAGTTCTTAGAGGAGGAGATGGGTAGAACAGGCATAGAGTAAAAACCTTTCTTTGGGTGGAAGCTAAGCATTTCATAATGCTGTGATCTGCCTGCAAAGGAGTTTTTCCATCAGGATGGTTAATTTAACATTAGCAGCGTATTCCCTCCCTCAAGTTTTATTTAGAAAGACTTTGTGACAAAAACTGCAGGTTTTGCTGAACTGAGTCATTAAATTGGATATGCAAGATATTTGAAAGTTACACCTCTTTTTGGTTTTCTTTTTAAATTTTTGCTCCAGAGTTTGAGCATGTATTTTACCAAAATACTTATACCTTAATATAGGTTGGTTTTTTAAGGTATATGAATTAAACCCCCAAAATTTGACACCAGTTACAGCTTCTAGAAATCCTGGTTTGACTTTTTCATTCTGAAACCTGCTTGTCAGTTCAAAGTTGTACTAAGTGGAATTCAAATGGGACTTCTAAAAAGAGCTGATATGGGTGCAAAATGCTTTTTTTAGTCTTTTCAGTGAAGTCTGCCACTGGGTCTCCACTATGCCTATTCAGCTTATGTTAAAAAGCTGTGTGTAAAACCAAGTCAGTTTATATCCAGTGACTGTTTAGTTTACTATTTATTTCTTGTTAATTTAATTTGTAATATCTTCTTAAAATCAATTGCATAATTTTAAAAATGAGGAACTGTCCTTCTCTCTTACAGATTATAGACCCTAAGATGCCTCGTGTTGCTGGCCATCACAATGGTGTTACTATACCAGTGCCACCTCTAGATGTACTGAAAATTGGAGAACAAATGCAGACCAAATCAGATGAGAAACTATTCTTAGTACTATTTTTTGACAACAAAAGAAGTTGGTATGTTATTGAAATGTATTGTTTGATGCAGTTACTTAAAATTTTAAGAGTCTGTAGCTTTCGTCTAGGAAGAAAATCAAAATATTATTTTTCCACGGATATAATTCCTATGGAAGTTAAATAAACTGTAAGGTTAAAATTTCATATTTGAGTCTATTTTTGGACCAAGGTATATATAATCACTGAAAAATATCTCTTTATTGTCAGTTTGGAAAAAAATATTTTAAGTCGTTAAATAGTCTTTTTTTTTACATGCGACTTTCATTTATTGACCTGATGAAATTTCTTATTGCTTCATAGTTTTTTTAAAAGTAATAGTCTAACATTTATCTCTATCATCCTTCATCATTGCTTTCTGAATTACAACACTTCTTCTTCCAGTCTGCTCAAGTGCATTTTCTTTGAATTTTTAACCTCTCTTTGTTTCAATGCTTTATTAACACTTTCATTTGAAGTTCTTAAACTTTTCTAAATTCTTTTTTCATTAAATCTTCCCTATTTCCATTTATTTTGGCATCAGCAATATGCTGTGTAGAGCCTGAAGAGGGTCATTCACACAACAAAACATTCTCTTACCCTCCCCCATGGTCTTTGGGTTTAGGGCTGGTGGGGTTTTTCTGTGGAGGTAGGAGGAGACACACGAGGTTTTTTTAGTCTTCTTTTGGTTTGTAGGGTTGGTTTTGGTGGGTTTTTCCTAGGCATGGAAGCTTTTCGTCTACCTTCTCCCAAACTATGTAATGTCTTTTCTATGTTCTCTGTAGACCCTCTCCTCTCCTAGTTCCCATGCAGGTCAAGCTAACTGTAAACCTGTCCATGTCTCATTTTTCTCTTGACTTTGCTTACTTTTAACTATCACTTTTCTCTTTAGATGATTGTATGTGGCATTGAGTGATGCTGCCATTCTCCTGACTCCCTCTGTGCCAGTACAATATCACTTAAATAAACTAATGCTTAAAATTTATAACTGGTGTTTGCTCTTCTGCCCCTTGAGTTTTTTGGCGTAATTTTTCTGTTCTTTAGTATTTTCTTAATTAATTGGTACTTTGTCTTAATTATCTTTGTTCAGTTGCTTAGGATTCCATAAGATCCTGCATTCTTCTGCCTTTGTTTGCAGAGAACGTTTCATTTAAACATACTCAGCCTTATTTCTTGGTTTTTTTTTTTTCCTCTTACTGGTGTTGCCAGTGTAATGCATGTTTTCCCTGGTGAGTTTCTTAATAATTGCTCTGATTGCTTCTTGATCTGGGGAGTCCTCTGCAGCTTAAACTTTTCTGATTAGTCTCTATATGCAGGTGGTCCTAAATCATGTAAATATTGTGCAAAGTTGTCTCTAATGGGTACTCTGCATAGATGGACAGGAAAAGACTCAGTTCTTCTTCCAGCCCCTTTCCTCTTCTCCACCCTGACCCCACCAACTTGTTTTGGTAATGATTATTTTATTGTGATTTTTTTTGGCACTCATAATTCTATCTCTGCTGTGTTCCTTTTAGTCTTGAACCCCTGTTTATGATTTTTATTGATTGCAGGGTGTCTGTTACCTTCATTCTGTGATATCAGTGTCTATCCCCAATGGATTTTCATATTTGTTTCTTCTTCTTCCCCACTTATGTCAGGTGGACTTGCAAGGCTTTTTTTTTAAAAATACCCCCTTAAAACTTCTTCTATCTGTATTAAAACTGGTAATGGTTAGACTGATGCTTTCCATGCTATTATACTTGTGTCCTTATACTGACTCTTCACATTTTATTTCAGTGTGTGTGCTCAGTACAATAGGGCTCTAGTTTAGAGTACTGTAAGAAAATGAAAATAGCCTATTTTTTTATTTAAAAGAAAATTTTTGCAGATTTGGCTGTCTGATTTCCTGTTGGTTTGGCTTCAAATGGTCTCCCTCCCAAACTAATGTTTTTATACAAAAGGAGGGCTTCTGCCTTTTGCAGGATTGGGATTGCAGAGTACAGTAGCATATCTGAAATATAATTCATTAATTGACCTAATTTTTGTTTTCCTCAATGACTGTGACTTTGGAAAACAGGATTACAATCAACCTTTATGAAAATGACATAAATTTAATTTATAATTTTAAAATAAATATTTAGAATGCTTTAACTAGAAGAACAGGATGTAGAGCTTTTTCCATTATCACTCCTCCATGCCCAGAATTTGAAGACATTTATGGAGCTTGAAACAGAAAAGGACCCTGAATACGGAGCATGCTAAAGCAGAATTTCCTTGCCAGCTTACCTTTCCCCATAAAGAACAAATCAAGATGCCTGAAATGTAAGGCAAAAATCCATCATCTGAAAACTCCTTGTAAAAGAGACTGTGTCAGGTGAATCTTGAGTCATGCCCATTGTTAGTTGCTGCTGCCTATTCTTTAACTGCATCAGTATTTTAGGCTAAGTCCTTTCTGTTGCTACTTAATTACTTAAGTACAATCACAGAATGTATTCTCCGTTTTATGGAAGAGATTTTCTTAATATTTAATGTTCTTTAAATATTTAGTGCAAGTAAGCACTATCTTAAAAGGTGTTTTATTGTTTTGTTTAAGATGGTGAAGCTGATCTGCAATATGAGAAACATGGCATAGTAGCCCTGACATTTCTGGACAGATTTCTTGATCTTATTCTATATTTAACAGATTTATTTTTTACCCTTTTCTTACAGGCAGTGGCTTCCCAAATCCAAAATGGTTCCCCTTGGGATAGATGAGACCATAGACAAGTTAAAAATGATGGAAGGACGTAATTCAAGCATACGAAAAGCAGTAAGAATTGCTTTTGATCGTGCTATGAATCACCTGAGTCGGGTCCATGGAGAGCCAGTCAGTGACTTCAGTGATATTGACTAACAGAGATTTTCTAGCAAGGCATGAAAAATACCACAGAGACTTGAACTCTACTAATGAACCTCTTTGTCTAAAAGAATGTATTGAAGATACAACCCCTTAATTGTTGATTCAGTGGCTGAGTTCTGCAAACTTGAAATAGTTGAGCAATTCTTCTAAATCACCATTGCCATATTGATTAATTATTTTATTGTGCTGTAGATTGGAGGATTTTCCACTAAACCTGTTAAAATGTCTTGTTCATAGTGTTCATAATTGTACATAAATGTATATTCAACACTTAACTTATTCTGATTTTAGAAGTAGCTCCTTAATTCCTTTTATAATTTTGTTGGGGAGGGAACTGGTTTTTGTTTTTTCCATGCTTTATACTTTTTTTTTTCTTTTTTTTTCTGAGGTTAAGTTACCTAAGCACCATCTTTCAGCTTAAGGTGTTTAGTGGATCGTAAAGCCTAATATCAAAATGGCATCAAATATATGTTTGCCTAAATCATATACAGTATGGTGCTGCTTGTATAATTTCTTCCTTGGTCTGTAGCTTCTGAAAAAGACTTCTGAATGTTTGTGTAAATTGTTGCTCTTTGCACAAAGTACCACATATTTAAGATTGATGTAAATTTACAATTACAAATATGTATTTTAAGAAAGGAAATTGCATTATTTTGGAGGGTACTTTGTGAGAAAGACATCAATAAAAATTATACTATGTACATCACTTGCAAATCACCAAAAACACTCCATTGTTGCCCAAAATGACTTAAGGTTGTTACTGTTTTAAACAAATCTGGCTTAAAGCCTGGAAGCATATGATTTCTTTCAAAACCATATCCCATTTATCTCCCATCGGTTTAATTTTTTTGATGTGTGTGCCTCCCTGTGTTTTATTTATTGTAGAAAATGTATTAATTTGCTTTATAATGAAAAATAAAATTGACAAATATATTGATATGCATTTTTATACAGGCACATGAGAAGACAACTTGCTTTGGGAGAAAAATGTATTGGAAATTGTATAAAATAAGTCGATGGTTTGTGTGTAATTTGGTTTTTTGGTAACTTGTAATCTTTTGTTTCCAATGAGGGGATTTATGTAACTTTTAATTTAGAACACTTTGGTAGCAATAGAAACTTTGGATACATTTTTGTATGGTACATGTGATGTATATAGAATTAGTACTTTATTTTTATTTTTAAGAAGTAAAGCATTATGTTTGGGCAGGGGGAAGAAGGAGGGTGGGTTTCCAGAACTGCATTTTTATATTAAAAAGAAAAAAAATAAAGTCAAGATATTGATTGTTGTAGCTACTTTATTCCTACCTTCACTGAGATACTGAATTTGTAACAATGAAATGGCAAGGTATGTTTGCAATGTGATTTATAATGGCTCCATTATTTATAAATGCACTGTGTTTGAACTCTTTTGCAGTGATATCGTAAATACTGTACCAAGTTATATAATATGAAACACCAAATAATGCATATGAATGCACGAAGTATTTATGCCCAGCTTTTTTATAAAGGATTAGCAAATACAGCAAAACCAATACTTTTTAAATCTTTTTTTTAAAACTTCATTGAATAGCATACTTCATTGTTAAACCTGCTTGAATCTTTATTTTAAAGGGACAATTACTTTTTAAATAGTTTTTACTGTTTTTATTCTCTATTGTTTGTAATACCCCCGTAGAAGCTTGAAATAAAATTTCTTTCTCAACTGTAAGTTTTGTCCTGAATTTAGCCCCTGAGATTTTGCTGCAGTGCCCATTTTCTTCCTCCATGACTGCGCTGTTCCAGAGGCACTGAACCAAGAAGCTGAATGTTCTCCTGTGGCACCCAGCATTGTCCTCGCTGAGCCCTTTGCATAGGAGCTATTCCAGTTAGCTGAGACCAGTTGCCTGTGGTGGACCCTGGTAATTAAGGCTGAGTTGGATAAACTTCACAAATGATCAAGCAAATAGTTTTCTAAGACTTGACAGCAGACACAGCTTGAGGGAGAGCAGTGATGGCAGGTACCCTGGAAGGACCATCATTGAGGTATGCTGCTCTGAAGGCCACAACAGCCGCATCAGTTAGAAAAATTAAAATCTGGTTGTTTGCATTAAATATAATGACTTCAAAGATCTGACATATAATTGTGCTCTTCTTTAAAGGGAATGGAACCTAATTTGGGTAGTGTTGAGACAGCAGAACCACTTGTCATCATTAGGACTCTGTTAAAGATATTAAATAAAATAACGCTACATCGGATTTTATTTCAGCCTGGTTCCACAAAATGTACTCAGATTTTGTGTGTGTGAAACTAGATGATGATTCACAACCTCATTTTGGTGTGCAGAGAAATGGGCTTTTTTGCTGTCATGGACCTTGGAAAGCTGAAATGCAGTTACAACAGAAGTTGGAAGATGACGGTACGTGTATGATAAGGATGCTGATACCTGTGAAATATGAAGTGCCAGTAAAAAAGAAAGCACAGACTTGCAAAATGATTCTTAGAAGTCTTCCTTCATTCTCAGTTGCTTTGCACACTAGCAACATTACAGGGGGGGAAAGACCTCATCTTTTGCAAAAAAGCATTAATTATTTTTGCTTTTTTTATTTAATCACATCATCAGGGAAAGCTCTAGTTCAAACTTTGCTCAGACTTCTGAGTCTTATTTTATGACTTTTCCAGTCAGAGATGGTTTCATCAGTTCTTGGAGAAAGAAAATGTGCCGGCTTCATCTTACAGGGAACTGTATGCACTTAAAAGAATTATCAGCTGGAACACTTGACTGATTAAAAGAAATTTGTTAAATATCCTGAAAAAGCACGCTGCATCTTCTGGTGAAACTGGCATGAAGGGCTCATTTAATTTTGTTCAGGTTATGTGGTGGAAACTGTCCCAGGAATTCTTCCCAGACCCTGTCAAGAGGAGGTTGCAGCAGTGTCAGTTGGTGTTCCCATACTCTCTTGTGATGAAATCCAGTGGCTCTTGAGACTGGGTTAAAGCTTAAAATAATTTCTCAGACTTGCCAGTCTTTAGTGTGACTTGGGTGTTTTTAGCAGATTTCATACCTACTTATGAAAGGAAGTCTGAGCTCCAAAGTTGCCTTATTTCAAAATTCTAGGGCCTAACCAGATACAGTAGACAGATGAATATGTGCACATTGGAGTGTACTTCACTACGTTTTAGACTAGGTTCTTCTATGATGGTAATAATAACAATACAGAGTAATATATAATTATATATAGTAATATATATTAGTATTCTAATGGAGAGAAAAACTGGAATACCACATTCTGGATTGCCAGCTTCTTGAGGAGTGTTACAGTTATGAGAACGGGGTGTAAGTTTGCACATTCACTGCTCAGTTCTGGTGTGATCATTTCCCGTTAAAAGAAGTGTGAGACCTACATCGTCAGTTGAAACTATGTGAAAATGTCTTTTCTTGTATCAATATATGAGCAATTATTGTATTAATATTTAGGGGGGAAGTGTGACTAGAGAATAATGCTTTTTTTAAAAAAGTTTGTTACCGACTTCAGTGATATTTTTGGGGAATGTTTGTTGTGATTTTCTGTCTTTTACACTAGAGGGAGCAATACACACGGACCATCAACATTACAAAATAAGTATTCCGTTTTTCCTTTTCAAAATGCTGCTATTAAAACTTGCTGCTCTTAAACAGTAAGTCTTCTTCACTCTAGTGTTTCTAGTCCATCAAAAGTAGCTTTCTCTGTTCTTTCTGCAAGTGGGCTGATTTGGGAATGCTGAATTATAACTAGAGTTAGTACAAAGGACGAATAGCACTGGATTTGCTGGCTATCATGTCTAATTACAAGTGACAGATGAGTAACTTCTTAAATTTTTATTTAGTTGTTGGTTTTCTTTTCACAGTTGCATTCTGTAGTGTTAGAAAATGACTGAGAGGTGGTTGCTGCTGGTAGCGCAGTGCAAGTCAAACACATCAATTAACAGAAATACTCAGGTTTGGAGGTGAAGGTTCCAGATGAGGCAGTTGCTCTGTCCTGCAGCCTGGCAGGGGGAGGTTGCCTTAAGGATGTGTGCTAGGGAATGAAATAAATTCATCTCAGTCTTGTGATCATATGGGTAAAGGTTCTTGCCCATGTAAGAACAAACTTTCTCACCCCCACTATATCTGTAACAGAAAATACAGAAGTGAAATGTAAATGGAGGAGACATTTGCTATCCACATCTAGCTTAGCACCTTTGGGTTACCTTGTTTAGATTTTTGTTTAACATCATTCAGTTGGTATGTCTTGCCTATTTTAGCAGTTCTTTGAAAGATTTATTTCCTCTAAAACTTTCAATGTAGAAAAAGAGTAAATTGAAGGTAATGGAAGTTTGGAAAATAATATTTTGGAATAGCATGAAGTTAAAAAACTTATTTTAAACTTTTGGGAGCTGGTATTTGATAGGAAGGGGCTCTAAATTTATTTTTGCCTACTTATTCAACTTTTATTGGCTGTGCACAGAAACTGCTATCAAATCCCTGATGGTCAGGAAAGAAAACACAGTATCTCCACAGCTGTACTTTAACACTATTCACAATATTTTTCAGTTGTTTCTATGTGTTAAACTAACAGTGCAGTGATTGCAGTCACCTCATTCTATTTTCTTCTTGTACTTCATGGAGAGAGGTGACAGAATTAGAATTTTATTTTCCTTTTAATAGTTTAAAATATTCTTTAAATTTTTAAATTTATCCCCATGATATCACATATCTTGTCATCACACTGCTGCTCTGCTGCCTTTGTACTGCTCTGCTCATTTTTATTTTCACAGTTCCTCCAAGCTCAGCTCATTTTTTGGTTGTTTTGACCTGTTTTGAAGTCTTCACTGCAGCAAGCCAGCACTTTCAGCAAACCAGGGAGGTCTCCACTTACTGGGCTGAAGTGGCTAAAGTCTGCACATACAGAGAAGTCTGGGGTAATGTGAATAGTTTCCATGTCCAATCTTTGGTCGCTCCTCTTTACATGAAATTTTATGTATTGATACCAACTTTTCTCATCTCTCCTATTGAGCTGAGGTTTTGGTCTTGTCTCAGCTGTCTGGAGCCATTCTGCGCCATGAAGGGCTTCACGCTGTGAATTCTGGGGAGATGTAACTGTACTCTCTGTTCAGCTTCCCTGGCAACAGTCCCAGGTAGGTTTAGCCTGAGAGGATGGGTTAGGAATGCTCACACACCTTCCTCTCCTCTGCTCAGTTACTGGGTCCTTCCCTCCTCCAAACTTGGCTCCGTGAGGAGACATTTACTGTCCACATCAAGCTCTATGAGGATAAGAATTTTCACAACCTGATTAAAAAAAAAATCTAAAACCAGAAAAATCTTATCTAAATACATGGAAAGTATAAGGAGGACAAAGGAGAATCTACACTTGTCATTTTAATGGGAAAACAGTTGCTAATAGATGGTGCAAAGATGATTAAGGAATGGAGTTGTTTTGATTGATGATTAGGGCTTTATTTGTCACTGTATTTGAGATTTTGACAGTTCATTTCTTCAGACTCCTAGTCCTTGTTAAAAAAAGTTGATAATACCTTTTTTTTGTAATTTTGCTTTAGGGCCATGGAAACTTCATGCTGAAGTAGACGGAGAACCACAGGAACATGAGTAATTTTTGTCAATAATCAATTGGGAACTATTGAAAAACATTAGCAATTTTTTACCATGAAACTTGTAGGATTTTGGGACTTGGAAGATTGTCTAATTTTTCAATGTGCAGAGTTCACAGAGGTATTGTAGCACTGTAAACTACTTCAGTTGTAAGAAAACCAATAATGTCTCTTTTTCTTAGGAGTTATTTAAAAAATTATTTACAATTAAGGTGTGCATAAAGTGTTGCTGCTTAAGGTTTTCTGTTTAGTACTTCTATAAGGAAAATTTTTTAAGGAAATAATTTGATAAGGAAAATAAGAATAAAATTATCTCAATTACAAAAAGCCATAAAACTTAATAATAAATGTAATAGCTATAATATAGATATAATATTTAAAAGAATAATACTAAAATAATGATGATCATATATTGTAGAACAAAGGGATCCATTTTATTTACCATAAGGGTTTTTTTTCTTATAATTCTGATTTTTAATGTTGCTTTAATAATAGTCTTGTTCCTCAGCTGCTCCTCTTTCACAGAGAATGACTGACAGCAAACCAATGCTTGTCAGGAAGCACGAAAGATGTTACACATAGGAGAGCAGATGTTTGGACAATCCCTATCCCGGTGCTCAGTGCATCAGTGCTTTCCTTCCACGAATCACACAGTGCAGGAACTCATGGGCAAAGCAAGCAAACAAGCATCCTGCATGGATCTGACATGTGACCATTGAAGCAGTGGGGTAGAGACAACTGGGCATTAAAAACAAAACAAAAACTTAATAATTTTGTGACAGGAACCGTGCAATAGCAGGTCTCTGTCCTTGATAGCACAGAAGGTCTCTTCAATGCTGTGTTGTTAGTTGTTAAGCTGCCTCATGACAGGTAAATATGACTTCTTATGTAATTTTCTTAAATCTAATTTTACTATCAATTATTTTCCTTTCTCTCCCCCAATTCATATGTTAAAATAAAGTCAGAAAAAAAAAATCAGAATTAATCATTCCCAGGATGAAAGAAGCAAATGTGATGTGGATTTTGCTCCTTTTCATTTACTTACTCTCACATTTTGTTTATTATTTACTTCATGATATCTTATACTGTTGTGGTGATGTTTA